TCTTGAACCCCAACTGTAGATGTTGCCCCAGGTGGGAATTCACAGAGGGTAAAGCCTTGTGTGCTGCTGAGTCCAGCATTGCCCAGCAAGCTCCTCCAGGGCCTGGAGGAGTGAGCGGATCAGAGAATGGCGGGTCCAGGGAGGGAGATCAGAGACGGGTGGTCCAGTATGATGGCCACTAGCCACATGCGGCTACCGGGCCCCTGAAATGTGCTGGCCCAAATTGAGATGTGCTGGAAATGTAAAATACACACCAGATTCTGAATACGTAGTACGAATTAATAGAACATAAAATATTTTGTTAACAATTTTTATATTGATTACACGTTGGAATACTCATCTATTTAAGATTCATTTTGTTTCTTTTTACTTTTCTAATGTGGCTACTAGAAAGTTTATAAATAAATTTGCGGCTCAAAGTATATTGCAGTTCGACAGAGCCTAGCTAGATCAGCCTGGCGAAGGCAGGGGGAATTGTTTGTTGAGTCCCCGGTGCCCAGAAAGGGCTGGCACCCAGTAGGCACCCAGTAAATGCGGGAGTTGATAAAGACATTTGAGGTCAAAACGGTCCACACTGGCCTCTGCAGTCTGCCAGATGTCCAGCAGGGGGCGCTCCAGGAGCGGTGACACCAACAGGGACGTATCCTGGGGGAACTTCAGAATCCCTTCCATCCTGCCTCCTGCGGCACCCCACCACCTGTGGCTCCTCCTCCAGGGCCCCATACTGCCCCTTCAGCCTGGTCAGGCTCCCCCTTCACAGCCAGCTCCTCTTAAGTGCAGGGAGCTCACAGCACAGCTGACAGGAGAAGGCTCCATCTCATCCGCACTGGGGTGGCCTCCCTGTGAATCCTGTGGGGCCCCTTCTACCTCTGGGCCACAGATCTGTCTGCTCCCCTAAAGAAACAGAGAGTCTGGGACAACCCCCTTCTCACAGCTCTCACAGCTGCCACAGTTTTGGTCACACTTTCCAAGGGAGAGGATAACAAGGGGCAGGCCCCCAGTGTGCCAGGAAAAACCCCACGCTGTGCTGGGACCCAGGTACCAGGACACAGCTCCTGTATGAAGGCACAGCAGGTGCTTCAAAAAGGCTCAGTGCTGACTTCCCAGAAAGGGCGGACTCTCCAGGTAGGGAGGGAGCAGAGGGCTTAGCACACATTTATCCAGCATTGATCTGGAGCTGGGAGGTCAGCTGGGGCTGGCCCACCTCTGGGAACTAAGGCTCCGAGAGGTAAGGGACAGACCCTATATCCCCCAGAGCATCGGTGTGGGAACAAAGGGCAGAACCCAGTTTTGCTGGAATCCCGAAGACCAGCGCCTGCCCCAGGAGGGCCCCCGCCCACCCCATGTGTCCGCACAGAGCCCCAGCTTACCTCTCTGCCAAACCACGCTTGGTGAGGCCTGAGATGACAATGGGGTCAAAAGGCTCCTCTGTGCCCGAGATGGTGATGCCCAGGGGGCCCCCATAGCGTTTCAACTCCACTGTGTAGCTGATGGCACCTGTGGTTTCCTGCTCATCTGCAAGGGTGACACCCATCAGGGTTGGGGTCCTGTGGGGCAGGGCCTTAGGAGCTGGGCATCCCCAGCCACCTGAAACCTTGGTGCGTTTACTCACTCACTCACTCATCTTTATCCATTCACTCATCCACTAATTCACACATTCACTAGTTCCATGACCAGATGGTGCAACCTGGGGACCCGAGGCCATCTTCTGCCTCCAGGAATGTTGATTTCCACTCAAACACCATTTATAAGAAGAAAGAAAAGAACCATGGAACCAACATTTTAAAATATAGTATTTTACCATATACCACACAAAACAAAAACAATATTGATGGTGATAATGATAATCATTATAAGAAGAAACCAGATTCTAGCTTTTCTTTAAAAAAAAAAAAAAAGATTTCCAGCTCATCTTAAGAAAAAAAAAAAAAAAGACATCAGCCCGCAAGTGGCACTCTTTCCCAGGGTAGCAGCTGGCAGCTGCCCCTCTGAATAAGGGATTCGCTCTCTAGTGACCATAGGCCTCACCCCTCCTTTTTGACTCCTACCTGTATAATTTTTCTTACCGTCTATCTTGTTCATTCACTTACGCCACCTGTCTGGCCTCAGATGTGTCCGAGTTTGCAGCATTTGCTAATTCT